AGCTCACTTTGTAGCCCAGGCTGGGCATCGAACTCGCAGTGATCCTCCTGCCTCAGCCTCCCAGCCTCTCAAGTGCTGGAATTACAGGTGTGTGCCACCTTGCCCGGCTGTCAAACATTTCAATACCTGGCTATCTGATAGTAAGCCTCACACTGTAAATAAAGGTGATGTGAGCCTCATCTTCAAATATTATATAATCAAGTGTTTAAGATATAAACATTTTATGGTCATCAGAGATGATCATATACTCATATGCCCTCTGAAAGTCATTGTTTCAGCTCCTGAACATGCATCTCCAGGGCATCATGTATGCTAGGCATAAATTTTACTGCCACGCTACACCCCCAGCCCTCTGTCATATATTAATGAAAGAACAAAGGAGATACCTAATTGTGCTCAATTTAGTATTTCCTAGGAAAGATGTGACTTGGTATTGACTTTGCCCTCCTGTGAAGATCCCTTTAGCTCATATAAGACCCAAGGGGCCACACATTAGCTCTGTGAGCAAAGTCAGATTCCTGTAAGCACTTTGCTTCCTTGTCAGTGTTTGTCTTGGCTGGCCGTTGCTCTGATGATGCCACAATGCTTTGTTTGTGGGGTCACCTAATGTCACTTACACCCTTAGGAAGAATCAGCTTTTGGGCAAGATAAAACTTACATGGCAAAACCTGCTCTTCCAGAGCAACTTTCTGAGGTCACAGAACTCTCTAGAAGAAAATCTATCCGGAGACATTTTCTATAAGCTTTCATCTTTCATTAAAATATGTGGTTTTACTCACTGCTGTGATGTTGATAGCAGAACTCCATTAACACATATGCTTCTGGTGCGCTCACAGAGACATTTTATACGCAAAGGGAAAAGTAGCCCATTTCTGGCAATAGAGAGGAAGTCTGAGAGAAGAAAAGATATACCAATATAACTTCTTGTCTAGTGAGGAGGTACAGTGTGTTTAACATTGTATCATAGAAAAAAAGCCATATTTTAAACTCTTTTCCCTTTTTGAACAAGTCACATTATAGCTGTTTCCAGAGAACAATCTATCTTTAAAGAGTGTGAAGAATGATATCCTACATTGGTTATATTTATATCTTAGAGAAATGTCTGGAAAAAAACCCCCAAATTAATAAAATGACAGGCTTTAAGCCTTCATTCCAGTAAAGTGAAAACCAACCTTTTACTCAATGTGTCAGCTACCTTTAAAAAAAAATTTAAAAGATAGAACATGAGATGCAAGCTTTTGGCTTCTATTTTCCCCTTATAAACCGATGACATCTTCAGTTCCGGAGGAGCCTTCAAAAGTGTGGATTCTGATAAATGTTGGCAGAACTGGTGCATTCCTAGAATAAATTTTCTGTGCTCAGCTTTTCCTACCCAAATTTGGTGACCACCAAATTGCCAACCAAAAAACTGCTCGCCATGAAATAGGCTGAAAAGAACTCTGGACGTGATGGGAGGTCTGAGCGTGTATCACAGTGGGACGCTGGTACACTACATTCATGCCCACGGTCAAGTCTCTAACCAATTTTCGACTGCTGTAACAACCATCGCTATTACTGATGTATTCGTGAGATTTAAAATCGCGGAGGGTGTATTTACAGAGAGATGAATCGCACACAAAGGAAAAACTTCAAAATTCTTTCTCTCCTCCTTTCAGGCACGTTTCAGCTCTACAAATCTGAATGCCCTTGTCTTTCACACACACCAGTGTCATTTTGCTCAGCTCTCAGCCCTTTGTACCAGGAAAACTGTGTCTCTCTTCCGCAACTTCACATGAGGGTTCCGGATCCGCAAAGAGCAGACAGTACTCGCGGGCGGACTTTAACCTGGCCGCCAAGGCTGCGCAAGTGGGCTTGGTGTGGAAAAGACTTTCGAAAGAAAAATTCGGTAAACCATGCACCTGTACTTGGAAACACAAAACGAAACAGAAAAAATAACCACCCGGGGGATCTAGACATCAGCAGGATCTCGGAAAACGGTACAGGCACAAAAATCAGTCACAGCGGTCTAGTCAAATCTGCAGCAGCGACTCCCAAGTCGCGGGCACCAGCGCAGACACCCCACTGGGCTCCACGGTACCCACCGAGCCGTCACTGCGGCCCCGCCCCCTGGGCCCCGCCCCCCGCACGCTGGCCAATCCGCTCGCGCCATCCCCTTCCCATAGGTCGCACCGCCCCCGCGCCCGGGGGGTGGGGCCCCCGCGGCGTGACGCGAGCACGGCAGCTCCGCCCCCTGCGTCTCTGGCCGCGCTGGCCGGGGGGATGGTTCCATCATGGCGTCAATGCAGGTGAGAGGAGTTTGCTGCATCTGGGCGGGCGCGGGAGCCGCCAGGG